CCATTGTTGGCTTTTTTCGGCATGCCCTGCCGAAACGCTCTAACAAAAGATTTTAAACAATGCTTTTCAAGTAATTAGTGAAATCAACATAAAATTTCTCGGCGAAACTTTTCAACCAGTCACATTGATCCGCTCACGAATTTTTACCAAATTCGAGAATAAATTGCAATAGACAACGGTTAGAAGCTTAATTTTAAAAAAAGCGAAAACGAATTAAAAAGCTTGATCATCGTGAATATACCTGGAACAAAGTGTTTTCAGTTTCCAACCCCACTTAATGGCTTTTCCTCTTGACGGTAAGGCCTGACGTCAAAAGGGAGGATATTACTTTTGCACCAATCATAAAACGAGCATTAAAATTACGGTCGATTTCTCTTGAAATTTACTTATTTAGGTTAAAATTTAAAGACGTGTAATCCTTAAATGCTGCAATATTTCACCTTTCCGAAATCTTAATATTGCTACACACAAAAATAATTCTTTAAAATGTTTTGTTACCTGTCCCAAAATTTGAGGAATAGGAAATCCAATGAAACAATCTAAGTCTAACGTTATTCGGGTCAGTTTGATTAATGTACGATGCCAACCTTTACTCAAAACCATAAAATAATTTTCAACAGAATAATAATTGGCATAGGATTAACGATAGATTTTAAACATTATATAGACTTTATTATATATTTACGATAATTTTCCATGATACTTTTACAATTGGAGATAGATTTGTACCAAATCGCGCGTATTTTTACGAACCGATTAGTATTTTTTATTCGTCATGGATTATTAATCCTCAGATACAACTTTTTTACGAATAACGCATTTGCATTATTTCTATTATTATCCTCTGTCTGTCTGTCCTGTATGTCTCTCTCTCTCTCTCTCTCTCTCTCTCTCACACTCTCTCTCTCTCACTATCTCTCACGCTCTCTCTGTCACTCTTTCTCTCCCTCCTCCTCCTTCCCGCAATCACTCTTTCTAACTCGCTCTCTTTCTCTCTCTTGTTCTCTCGCTCCCTCCCTCCCGCCATCATTCTGTCTCTCCTCCCTCTCTGTCTCTTTCCATCTTTCTCTTTTCTTTTCATTTCCGTCTCTGTCTCTCTCTCTCTGTCAGTCTCTCACTGTCTGTCGGTATCTCTCTCTCTCTCCCTCTCTCTCCCTCTCTCTCTCTATCTATCTTTCTTCCTATCTATCTATCTATCTATCTATCTATCTATCTATCTATCTATCTATCTATCTAACTCTTTTTGTTTGTTTCTTTCTTTCTTTCCTGCTTTCTTTCTTTCTTTTTTCTTTCTATCTTTCGATCTTTCTATCTTTCTATCGTTCCATCTTTGTATCTTTCTATCTTTCTATGTTTATCTTTCTCTTTTTCTTTCTCTTTCTTTCTCTTTCTTTCTCTTTCTTTCTCTTTCTTTCTCTTTCTTTCTCTTTCTTTCTCTTTCTTTCTCTTTCTTCCTCTTTCTTTCTCTTTCTTTCTCTTTCTTCCTCTTTCGTCCTCTTTCTTTCTCTTTCTTTCTGTTTCTTTCTCCTTCTTTCTCTTTCTTCCTCTTTCTTTCCCTTTCTTTCTCTTTCTTTCTCTTTCTTTCTCTTTCTTTCTCTTTCTTTCTCTTTCTTTCTCTTTCTTTCTCTTTCTTTCTCTTTCTCAGTCTATTTGTTTCCTTCCCTCAGTTTTTCTTTTTGTTTTTCTTTCTGGCAATCTTTTTTATTCCGTCTCTTATATGTCTGTTATTTTATTTATTTCACCCCTCTCTGTTTTTCCTCCTGTTTTTTCGTAGTTGTTGTTCTTAATTGTTTCTGAATTTCTTTCTTTTCTTCTTCACTTCCCCACACGTTTTATTTTTCCTCAGATGCGTAACCCGGCACATAAGCGAGTGTTAGTTTAAATGACTTTATCGCCCAACAAAAAAATTGTAATTAATGGCGTGAGCTTTAGTAAGGATTTTTTTTTAAATGTTCTTTTGAAATACATTATTTTCAAATTTTACAAAAACCGTACATTTTAGTAGAGTGATAAAATTTACCCCAAAACGTTCTAGTATCCCAACACGCAGAGCTATTCTTCTAACTTTAGGCCTTTAATCCCTCGAATCTAACTTCGTCGCACAAACCCATTCCATCTCACGTACCACGATGATTAGAAGCTACAAAATTGGTACGTGTGCACAGTTAGAGTACCATTTCCTTATTGCTGAGTTGACGCAAAATTTAAAGTTCTAAATGGAACTGTTTTTGCTGTTTACTAAGTCGGGTTATTTTGAGCCGGGACATCGTCAACATTTTCAAGTTGACCTAACTATAGCTTTATAGCTAAGAATTTATCGGCCGACCATCAGCAAGCATTCAAAAGAATCATTTACAATTGAACCAAACAATTAATTATTTTGGTTTCTTGAGTGTTGTGTTATGCATTTTCAGTGATAGGATTATTTAAATATTTAGGAGTAAGTTAGATTAGTTAAATCAACATCTATCGAGATTTTTATAAGAATCTAATTTTCCCCTTAGCATAAAGTATGTTTATGTTAAAATATGCTTTTGATGTAAGGTTAGTTTTATTCAAAGGAAACGATTTATATTGGCAGAAGGATGAGAAGATCAGGTTCATTAGCATAATTCCTGTTCGTTTTTGAGCGTTAACACACATTGAAAATAATTTATGAATACTTTTGAATACTTTTAGGCTTAATAGTTCACTTCTTTTAATTTTAAATTTAAATGTTTAAAGAATAATTAGAATACATTCAACGGGATCTCTTTGGGAAAAATTGCAACAAATTAAAACAGTTAATTTAAATATTTAATAATTTGTGGTTATTTCGTTGTTCTAATGAAAAAATATTCTTAAAAATTGCTCCAAATCGAGGAGGATGAACATCAACATTTTGAATGTTGAAAGTGATAAGAGAAATGTAGACGATAAAAAAGTGATTGTTGAAATAAGCCTTCCAGACAGACATATCGCCTTTGAATCGCACTTAAAGGAGAAGCTACCCTAAAGTTTGAGAGGGTTGAAAGTCGGCCAATATATGTTTTATTGTCGGGGGGAGAAAACGTTTTTCTCGCTGAATACAACGGGAAAAGGTTGAAAGATTTCTCCCGAATAGTAACTTTTATGTGCACTCAGTTGGTCTGTGAGTGTAATAATATCCTAGTGTCACAATGACCATTTTGATCAACTTTATTCATGGGGAGACATTATTTTGTCGGTTATTTTCGTTTTAATCCGTTGGTTTCTTTAAGCATTTTTAATGCGTTTCAAAATAATTACACACACACACACTCTCCCTCACTCTCTCTTTCTCTCTCTCTCACTCTCTCTCTCACCCTCTCTCTCACCCTCTCTCTCTTTATCTCTCTCTCCCTCTCTCCCTCTCTCTTTATCTCTCTCTCCCTCTCTCCCTCTCTCTTTATCTCTCTCCCTCTCTCCCACTCTCTCTCTTTCTCCCTCTCTCCCTCTTTCTTTCTCTCTCTCTCTTTATCTCTCTCTCCCTTTATCTCTCTCTCCCTCTCTCCCTCTCTCTTTATCTCTCTCTCCCTCTCTCTCTCTCCCTCTTTCTTTCTCTCTCTCTCTTTATCTCTCTCTCCCTCTCTCCCACTCTCTCTCTCCCTCTCTCTCTCTTTATCTCTCTCTCCCTCTCTCCCACTCTCTCTCTTTCTCTCTCTCTCTCCCTCTCTCCCTGTCAATCTCACTTTCTCTCTCTCTCTTTCGCTCTCTCTCCTTCTCTCTCTCTCTCTCTCTGTCTCTCTCTCTGTTTGTCTCTCTCTCTTTCTTTCTCTCTCTCACACTCTTTCGCTCCCTGTCTCCCTCACTCTCTCTCTCTCTCTATTTATATATATATATATATATATATATATATATATATATAATTCATATCTTGATTGTTTGTCATTCTCCTTCTCTTTCGCTTTTTGCTTCCCTCCCTCTCTTCATTTTTTCTCTCGTTCACCTTTGCTTTCTCACTCTCGTCATAGTTCTAATACTCACATTACCTCCTTTTACTATTCTTTATTCTATTTCGCAATTTCTTTATCTTTCACTCTCTCACATTCACCCACTTTTCCTCTCTCATTCTTTTTGAAAATCAATTTTTCTTTATTTTATATCATTTCCTTTCTTTCTGTTGTTTTCATCTTTCCTTTTTATTCCAATTTTTGGGGTTTCGTTTTTAATGTTTTATTCTTTCTTTTATTTTTTTACTGGTGTATACGTGGAATATTTTTCCTATCGACTAACCCTGCATTAACGCAGAATCTAATTTTTCACATTTTCTTACTGTCTTCAATCACAAGGTTTTTTTTATACATGTGAGTGTTTTCAGGTCGAATAACCCACAGCACAAATTCGCACTAGTCTAACTTCATTCATTTTAATAATTGGGAAAATTCGACATTTTATGTGAAACAAACGCCTCCATCTTATTTTCTATACTCTCCCTCTAAACGAAAGAAAATATTACCGAGTCTACGCCCAACTAATAAAGTCGCTTAGCCACTCCCACGGCCAATAAAAAACATTTTATCCTCCCTATAAAAATCCTGCTCAGCAATAGGAAACTGCAATTTGCTAGGAAAAAAGCATACTTTGCGGAAAACAGACTTAGTAATCAAGCCCCGGGCAGTGCTCGAAAAGATACTATGATAAATGATTCATTGAAAGATACACGAAATCAAGCATAGAAATAATTAATTATGGTTTTTGGTTGAGATAAAAAAGTCAGTGTCACGAGCGGGATTCGAACCCACGATCTTCGGCTTGATACGCTGCTGCTCTACCACTTGAGCTATCATGCCTTTGATCCACACTTTATCTCAACTAAAAACCGTAATTAATTGGTCAAGCGGACCACGAAAACTAGTGAACATACAAATAATATCAGTAACAGTCGAACTTTTTTAAACATAATTTTATTCTAGTAATTTTTAAGACTGAAAAAATTAATTTAATGATTTAGTATGTGAGCATTTATAAATGTAGATTTTAATTAATTTTGTTCTTTTCAGTTAGACGAACTCGTCAGCAACGTTCTTTCAAGAATTCCAATACCACTTCAAGAAGCGGTAGTCAGATTACTGGGGAAAGACCCCAAACAAAGGCCGACGGCTCAAACGTTGACACTTATTACATATTTTAGGTAAGTCCGCATTCCTATCCATTGCAATTACAGCGCGTGATATCCGGCTTGACTGGTTTTAACGATACTTCCGATCGGAAATTAGAGCTGGAAAGTGCTTTCCCGATAGTCGTCCCAGGGAAACTCATTTATGTAATGCGGTTTCAACAACCTAACGCACATGTCGGTAGATAACTTTTGAAATAATTGCTTTACTGTCAAAGACTGTACTGTTTCAAGGGGGAAGATCTTAATTGGACCTGTGTTGAGCCGGACGGAACAACTTTCAAAACAAATAATGGAAGTGTCGGCCCGACGAATGTTGACATCTTGTGAAAAACTGTTTTAATCGTGACATGTTTTCTTTGAAATGTAGACATTTTGACAAAATAAATTCGAAAACAATTTTCTGTCATTTAAAGAATTCGGATTTTGTCAAGTGTAAAAAAAACGAAACAAAACATATAGAGAACATGATAAAATGGCGCATTGCTGATATAAGATACACAAAACGAAACTACAGGATTTTATTTCCATAACAAAAAAACAATAATATGTAAAACACTACAACAACCTTCAAGTAGGTAATAGGTAATAATGAGGAAGGTAATATATACAAAACTGCAAACAAGAGTGGAGAAAATACTCACTGGTATTACCCCAATGTTATTAAAATATTGCCTGTTTAATTGATTCTTGTGTCATTATCACTTTCACTTTCATCACCATCACTTCCTAGGAGATCTTGTGGTCATTATCTAATATGTTAATTGGTATGTGTAGTTAGGTTCAGTGTATAAAATGGAGCATCTAGTATTTTTATGTAGGATTAAAGTCTGGGTAGGTTGAATGCCGTGGATGTTCGGCTCAACCACGCACTTCCAGTCAGTAAGTCCAACCGGCTTTACTATGGTGTTGTAAAGCAGCTTTTTAATTTTTGAGAGGTAAATTAGAACGTCCAGAATTCGTACAAGATCTTTATATTGTGTTATAACCTACCGACGTTTCAGTCGGGTGTGAGGATTCCACTTCAGGCGTTTGTCGATGTACCGTCCGAGGTAATGCAGCTTGTCCGCAGTTGGAGAGGGATTATTATTTAAGAAATCAGGGAGGGAGATCTTTTTACGGTGGGTGGAGGTAATGTGGGTGGAATTGTCTCTGTAAAATTTTATCCTTTTTACACCAAGACTCTACTAGTGTGAGGCGTTGTTGGAGTTTTTGAGTGGAAATGACAAGGTCGGAGTTCCAAGACAGAATTGTTGTATCGTCTGAAAATGTGAATGTGGTGGCTTCGGTATGTGATGGTATGTCAGCTATGAAACCTTGCAAAGTCGAACACGCTACGCTGAGGAACACCAGCACGGATAGGGAAATATGCAGAGAAAGAAGGGCCTTGGATGACTTCGAAAAATCGGTCAGTGAAGTAACTGTGCAGTATGAGATAGTAGGTGGATGGAAACCCTAGAGCATGAACAGCAAGTCCGGGTGCCAAACTTGATCAAAAGGCTGGCTTACGTCAAGTAAGAACCAGAACAGTACTGTCCCACCCCAAAGGAAGAGGAAGTAATGTCTACCAGGTGGTAGCTCTGTCGGACAGTTGAGTGACGGTTAGTGAAAACCAAATTGATGGCCTGGGATTATCTTTTGAGAATTTGGAACCAGAAGAATTCCTTTCAATAGGAACTTTTCTAAAATTTTAGCCAAAGTGGGTAGTAGACATATTGGCCTGTATGAAGCAATTTTGGTCTTAAGGAACATTCGAATATACGAGTGCTTCTAAGTTTGCCATAAACTTTTTTTTCTATACTGTTAGAATAATCAAAATAAGAAATAGAAGTTTTGCATTTATATATACTCAAAAAAGAGGACATTCGTATTTGCTGTTCATTTTAAAATATATGTACATTTATCGTTACTATTAATTACAACATTTATTTTAATTCCTTACATAATGTTTAATTGACTTAAAGATGTTATGTTCAGAGGGGAATATTATTTAAGAAAATATGAGATTGATCATTGACTAAGAGTGAAGGTAATGTGGGTGGATTTGTCTCTGTTAAATTTTATCCTTTTCGTTTTACACCAAGACTCTAGTAGTAGGAGATGTTGTTGGAGGTTTCGAGTGAAAATGACAATGTCGGATTTGCTAGAGAGAGTTGCTGTATCGTCTGCAAATGTGAATTTCGTGGTTTCGGTATGTGATGGCAATTGGCATGTCAGCTGTGTACAATTGGTATCGTGTGGGACCTGACCTTTGAAAATGGCCTTCGATGACTTGGAAAAATCGGTGACTGAGGTAACTGTGCAGTGTGAGATAGTAGGTGGATGGAGGGATGTTTGGATAACAATATGACAATAGGACAATAGGCAAAGAAAAATATAAATTCCATATAAAGTAACAGTTCAAAATTGAAACCATTAGAAAAACAGGAAGCCATGCCACAATTCGCAGTGTTTTATTAAAGTTTTTTTTAACTTTTTGTTGAAATAAATTTTGTTTAAATGGCTTTTGCAATTTTTATGTTTATTTCGAATTTCAAACTGTAGAATTACCTACAACAAGCAAATACAATGGTGCTAGAGAATATTATGTATTGTCCTGAGAAGTCACTCGGTAGTTACACACTGATACAGGTAAACCTAAGGATCACTTCTCACTCGTATATAAAAATATTTGCTTTGCCTTTTCTATTTTAGAGAAAGGGTTCGAAAGGTAATTTTTCTCTTAGGATCTAGTGGTGCCAGTATTTTTTAAATTATTTGCATTGTTTCTTTTTTTTTTAATTGGAAAGGCTTTTCGAAACCTATGCAAAAATAGGGCATTACACTCCAGAAAAATGTTGAACCACCGGGTTATACAAGGAACTCAAAACATCAGAGTAAATTAAATTTATCAAGTTCTGAAGAAAAACTCAATGTATCTAGAACAAATCGCTGAATTTTTCAGCATAAATTCAAAAATTCATCGATTTGTTCTGGATACATTGAAAGAGTTAAAAGATACATTGAAGTTATCTTTCAGAACTAGATAACTGCAATGTATCTTTTAACTGATAAAAAAAAAGGGTAAATAGAAAACTTAATTAAGTAAAACAAGAAAAAAATAATTTGGGTCCATTTGTTTAAACCCCCCTTATAGAACATCTAAACACAAAGAATTAAATTATTTAGTTCTGAAGTTAAACTTCAATCCTAAAAAAATATTTATTTAGAAATCGTGAGATGCGTTCTGGTGTGATGTAGGTTTCAGAAAAACATTTTCTTTATTGTGCCAACGTTCCGAACTTTATTGAGATCATCTACAGGGCCTGGGATTTACAAACGTTGTTTATGTATTACAATTACATTTTGGATGTGGAAAAGTGAATTTATACAATGAAATATATTTTTTTATATATTCAATCAAAGTATTTCTACTCACTCAAATATATTTTGCATTGTATAAATTCACTTTTCCACATCCAAAATGTAACTGTAATGTATAAACAACGTTTGTAAATCCCAGGCCCTGAAGATGATCTCAATAAAGATCGAAACGTTGGCACGATAAAGAAAATGTTTTTCTGAAACCTACATCACACCAGACCGCATCTCACGATTTCTTAATAAATATCGATTAACGATCACTAATCACCACACATTCTTAAAAAAAATCATCGAATTATAATTTTTTTTATTCGAGGTGATTTTTGATGATACATTTTTTACCACATTTTAAATATCCTTTCCATTCTCGGAAAAAAGCACCGGAAACTCAAAAATCCATTAAGTTCTAGATGTTTTGAAGTTTTTCAGCACTTGATAATTTTATAAATCATCGATTAAGAATTTCCCAATTCAAGAAAATTTTCGATGATAGTTTTTTTTTTATATTTTGAAATTCCATTCATCGTTACGTTCTGAAAATATCAACAAGGAGAAAATTGAATATTTAATTGAACCAAATTTAAACAATTAATACATCAACAAGCATTTACACGATAAAATGAAATTATTAGGCTCTGAAGGAAAATTTTATTATTTTCAGAATGAATCGATGTTCACTTTAATGACCAAATAATTAAAATTCTAATAGAACCAGCAAGGTCTAGGAGGTCCTTTTGAGCGCTACATAGTTTTACAGTAAAATAGGCTATGCCAAAATTTAAAGATATGTTTCAAATAATGAAATCTCAAGAATGGGGAAAACTGTGGCATTTACGCGTTTTTTAAAATTAAGTTTAAATTGGGTTCATCTGCTCCAGGGGATTCGGCCGAACGGAGATAAACCCGAATGATTTTCTAATCCGCTCATTAAATCAGTTTTTGTTTAGGCAACGCCCGCATTAATTAATCATATCTTGTAGCTGCTCCCCAGAGCTGAAAAACCAAACTCACTTCAATGTAGATAATTTATTTCGCCCGTTATTCCACACTCCACACTTTTCAATAAAAACCTCACCTTGATATCAAATCGATATAAGACCGAACGGTCAATATATAAAACAATTTAATGAAAAGTCCATAGGTAACTTTACTTGGTGAAAGGGCAATACGGTTCAAAACTTATTTCAATTTCTCCCGATATTGACGCAGAGTATTCGGTCAAAAACGCTTCAATGCCTCATGCATCATCGATTGTGACGCTTGAATTTCACGGCCAGCCGAGCTCAGAAAACATGAAGTCTAGTTTATCGGGACAAAAAAAATCATTTTATGGATATGCACTTTTGGACTTGGAAAGGGCAAGGAAGAAAACGAAAATGGCCGTGGGCTCAATGAGCAAAATCTGCAGCAACTTTCTTACCGCTTTCAACCATTAAAAACACTCTCTGATTTCGTGTTTCCGGCAGTATTGTGCATGTTTATACACCATCCGAGAAAAACTTTAAAATTTCTATGTATTTTAATTATTGTTAGTTTAGTACGAGTTTTACCGCGTTGTTTTAAGGCACAATTTTATATTAGTTAAAACCAATATTGACAGATATAAGAATTTAATTTTTTTATTTTTTATCTTGATCCACTCTACTCCACAG